ATTCCGTCGGTGTCCCGGTGTTCCATCCCGCGCCCGCCTCGCCGCCGCCCCCCACACACGCCCTCCCCGCCCGGGTCGCGGGCCCCAGCGCCAGGCCCCGCCCGCTCCCCTCACCCCGGCGAACCAGCGGCGGAGCTGGGCTCATTGGATATTAACCGCGCGCCGGGAGCGCGAGGCCGGAGGCGGGCAGGGCGGGCCTCATGAATATGCATCGGCAGGATGACGGCATCGCAGGGAGTAGAGGGGAGCTCGGGAGGCCGGCAGGAGGCGGGGCTTCAGAGTAAACAAACGTGACGCGTGCGTACGGGGCGGGCCGGAGGCAGGATCGCGGGAGGTCCCGGAGCGGCCTCCGAGAAGGGCGGGAGAGGAGAGCGGCGCGAGATGCACCTCGGGAGTTGTAGTTCAAGCGCGCGGACGGGCACGCGCGAGGCAATGGCCGAGAACTACAGTCCCCAGCGATCCTTAGACTCTGTCCCGCCCTGCCGCGAGCCGCGAGCCCGGACCCGGGGGTACTGTGCCCTCTGCTGTTGGGCCGTGTGCAGGGAGTGTTCTTGTTCACTAGCTTGTGCGTACCCGCCCACTCCCGCTCTCCAGATGACTTATTTTCCCTGCTTATTCAAAGAGAGGGTGTCAGGGACTCTCGACCGTACTAAGGTTCGCTGTCTTCACCGCCTACTGCACAAGATACGGCACCACAGATCGCCAGCCGGCGACTTTTCAAAAAGGCCCTAGGAAACTGTATCTGGAAATCCTAACTTAGACCATCGTTCATGTGCTTGGTGGTCACAGTCCTGAACCTAACCTCTTTCTCTCCTGTATCTAGAATTTTGAGGGAGCTCGATGACATGAAAAGCCGTGGAAAGTCGAAGAAATATTGGAATGGAAACATGATGGCTCAACATCTTCCTTGACTTTTTCTCTCAACGTTCAAAAGAAAAATTCTACTGCTACAATGTTTAGTTGTGGTCTGAAAAGTTGCTTTGTTTTTTCCCTTGAAGCAATAGTGTAGACTAGACTAGGGCACTTTTATTATTTAAAAGAACGTAGTTACCTTTTGAATTGAATTGTCATTCCCCCCAATTGTTTTATAAATCTAGATTTTTCACATGTGAGACTTTTAAATACCTTTGAACCACGTACTGCTCACTGCTACCCTAACTGAATGAAGTTACTAAACTTGGAAGTGACAGGAAAGACCCTGAGTTCAACTGGAACTTGTAGCGAAGTACAAGTGCATAGGTTATGCACACAGCTTCACTGAACAGGAGTGGAGGAGACTACACAAACAAAACAATAAGTATTTCTCAATGATTACTGAAATTGCCAAAAGTAATTTTCTGTATATTCTTTTAAAACCTTACCCCTTGACATTATGAAGCTAATTTTTACTCCATTTAAATTCAATCAACAGCAACACTTTAAAAATTAGAGAGATTGCAAGTTCTCTCAGGAGAATCAAGACAATTTAATAATTATAAATATGTTGTATACCACTCACTGTATTACAGCAAGTGGTTGTCAAGACTCTGAATATGTTATACACAGATCACTATATTAGAACAAGTGTCAGACTCTAAGCTCACCCACACAGAGTTTGTAGATTAGAAAGAACTACCTTCAACAAGTTAGACAGATGAACAGGAGAAAATACAAGGTCCCATGGAAACAGACATAAAACAAGAGAACCAGCCTAGTCTAGGACGCAAGAGAATTAGATCTAACTTTGATTAAATGTTCTAGAGTGAAAAATGCATGCTCTTGTTGAGGGATCAGTCCCTGGGAGAAACAGAAGAGGCAATAATATTGAAGTAAATCTCAACTACATGAATCTGTTGTGCTTGAGTAGCCTCTAACACAAAGTATTAGTTCTAGAACTTGAGAGAATGGTATTTTAATTAGGCACCCTTTAATTAAAGATTTAAAACAGAGCA